GTATTTCATCCTCGAGGTTTTCCTTAAACCTTGGAGGTAAGAAAAACTTCAGGAAATCCTTCCGGAAGGCCTCCCAGGTTTGCCACGGCTTGCGATTATTCCTGAACCACATTAGCGCACGTCCATGGATGACTTTTGGCATCATCATGATCAGGTCTCTATTGGGTATCTGATACATCTCCGATCGCTCTTCCAACCGCTCTATGAACTCAAGGGGCTTACTCTCGCCGGTTAAGCTTACTCCCCATTTTCTCACCTGTTCGGCAGTACCCTGTATATCGGTCTTCCTGCTTTTTAATATAGGATCTTCCATCCCCGTTGTCTCCACGGTATTCGACTCGCTCAGGTTCCGCGGCGAGGCCATCTTTGTCTCTTTTTCGTGTACCGTCTGTATTTCAAGCAGTCTTTTTGTTTCTTCAGGGTCATGATATTTTGCTAGGAAAAGAGCGAACCTCTTTCTTTGCTCTTCTACTGTTCCTTCGATTTTCTGTCGTGTCTACGAGACCTGGATAAGTACTCGTGGCCTTAGGATTGCATGGGTTGGAGGTTGTTGGTCTGAGACCTAAACAAATATTCTCCGGGTTTTTAAGGATTCTGGGAAGGATCAGGGCTACAGGCTGTTGGGTTATGAGTATTAGGGAGATAGGGAGAGATGCAAAGCTACTGTTGCGAGAGACCTTAATAAGTACTCAAGCACTACAAGGATCTAGGATACGGTTGCAAGAGACCTTAATAAGTACTCAAGCACTACAGGATATTCAAGGATATGATTGCAAGAAACCTTAATAAGTACTCAAGCACTACAAGGATCTAGGATACGGTTGCAAGAGACCTTAATAAGTACTCAAGCACTACAAGGATCTAGGATACGGTTGCAAGAGACCTTAATAAGTACTCAAGCACCACAGGATATTCAAGGATATGCTTACAAGAGACCTTAATAAGTACTCAAGCACTACAAGGATCTAGGATACGGTTGCAAGAGACCTTAATAAGTACTCAAGCACTACAGGATATTCAAGGACATGATTGCAAGAGGCCTTAATAAGTACTCAAACACTACAAAGTTCTAGGATACGGTTGCAAGAGACATTAATAAGTACTCAAGCGCTATAGGATGTTCAAGGATATAGTTGCGATAGACCTTAATAAGTATTCAAGCACTACAGGATATTCAAGGATATGATTGCAGGAGACCTTAATAAGTACTCAAGCACTACAAGGATCTAGGATGCGGTTGCAAGAGACCTTAATAAGTACTCAAGCACTATAGGATGTTCAAGGATATAGTTGCGAGAGACCTTAATAAGTACTCAAGCACTACAGGATGTTCAAGGATATGATTGCAAGAGACCTTAATAAGTACTCAAGCACTACAAGGATCTAGGATACGGTTTCGTGCTCTTGCACTGACTGTCCCCATTCTAAGTTTGGTCGCCCTTTTATATGGGAGTCCAAAGACGTGTCTTGTGGTAGATTAACGGGACCTTGTGTACTTCATGTGAATGTCCCAACAACATAATCAGAGAACATTATAACGGGACATCTCCCTCTCTCGCCCTTGCTCTCTGTAAGAAAACCCCACAGCCTCTCTCCTGTTTCATCCTTTACTTACATAAAAAACACAACATTGGTACCAAACATAACTTCAGAGTGTGGCCGAAAATAAACTCGTGATTTTCGTCGTCAAATCGTTTATTTTTGTTTTAGCTTCTTCAGATTTTATACGATTTGGTGAACTACGATTTCAGTATAAATATGACAACAATATATACTCAATATGGTAACATTTTATTGTGACACAATTTTTTTAACGTATACTTTCCAGTCTGACCATGTGTTTTTCCACCCATTGCAATCTTTGGTGGGTGGTCCCGAGGAATTTTGATTTTCGGTGAACTATGACCAACTTGTTTCGGCAACCACTCGATCACCTTTGACATAGCCCCTCGCTAGGTCTTGGTGGCTCTCCCTAAGATCTATGACAATTGTTTCTTGTGCCGAATTCCTGTGCCTGCCCCTAAAATATTAATTATTGATTAATTGATTAAATAGCATCCCACAATTTTTGTAAAAAAATATTTTTTCTTAGTTTATTTTTTCTTTATGCTTCAGTTAATTATCTGTAATACCACATTGTTTAGTTTTCACAGATGAATAATTTTTGTTTGACGAAAAAAGTGATTTTCAAAAAAAAGTGAAGTGGTAAAATTTTTGTACAAAATTATTATTTTTTTTTTAGTTTCTTTGTTCTTTATGCTTCAGTTTATTATTCGTAATACTATTCGTTTGGTTTTCACATATGAATAATTTTTGTTTGGCGAAAAAAGTGATGTGGCAACACTTCGCTAACAATTGCCTTCGTTAATTGAGAAGCTATTACAATTTGCTAATTATTTTAAATAAAATTAAATAAGTTTGTCATTAAGACAACATTTTTATTACTTAAAATCATTCTGAGAGTGTTTTAATGTCACAAGTTGCCATAAATTTCACTTGCAAAACCAAACATGGATTCAAATCGAAAAAATGTTGCAATTTACATTTTTTGAAGAAGGTAAATACGAAAGAAGGTAAAGTATTAAGCAAGTATCGCGGTTCACAACTATCAACAGGCGGGATATACACATTAAGCACCATACATGCCATATATGGGTCACTAGAGACTAGCTCAAGCGAGAAAGGTCCATATTGAACAGAATGGCGTAAAAGGAATGCTAATGCCCCACCTTCACTTACCTTGGGATCTTTTCTCAATACGTTGCAACCATTTCAACGTTGTAAGCTACAATTTTCATTGAGCTTCGTTTCATGCACCGATGCGATCAAGATATTCCTGCGATTCATAAAATCCACTCTCTCATCAATTTTATCTCGGATTCCGTTGCAATTGAATTACAATAATGATGCACTGTCCGGAATTTGAATAGCAACATGTGATGTTAGGTGCTGCGGTAGAGTTTCATGTTGTGGAGACTGCGGGGAAGTTCTGTACTCCGACGATGACTCAGAAGTTGACAACGAGGTCGTGGACTCAATGGGAACTACGTTTGTACAGCACGATGCAACATAGTCCCTATCGCTACAGTCTCGCAACCGGATTAAACCAAAACAACTCTTAAAATGCACCCATCCTTCGCATCCATTACATCGCTGGCCGAACTGGAGTGTTGATATTTCGTGTTAATCCGGTGTCGTAGAACCCGCTGCCGTGGGATTTCTTATCAACTCTAGAATTATTTGTCAATCTTGGTGTTTTGGTAAATAAAGCAATAGGAAGTTTAGGTTTTTTAAAACGATGGGCCAAAAAATATTCTGATCCATATATAACAAAACATTTTTTAAGTATTTTGTTAGAAAAATAGAATCTGTGCAAAAACAATTTCTGGTTTTTGCTTTGAGAGATCTTGTTTTGCCTTGTTCTACTAGCAAGTTAGAATTGATCAAATTGTAAAGCAGAGTATTATGTTGAACTCAATGATGATATTAAAAATATTAATTGGCAATCTTCAGATTTCCTAACAGCATTTAGTAGAGCTAATTTTCCTTTTAGTGTAGTAGATACTGTCAACTATTATACACCGAGTTTCACCGCACGAATTTGATTATGTAATGTTGATTTTAGCATGAGTTTAGAAATTGTAAAATCTAGACTAATAATCTATACTTGTATGACTAATTTATAAATATTCTATTATTTTACAAAATAGCTGATAAAGAATATTCTGTAGCTGGCTTCCAATTTCATACTCAATTTCCATCATGATGCTGATTGTGATGAGAACGTGAACCCCACGAAAAATGAGGTCCCAGGCAGAGGTCAAAAATGTTCGGAGACATTTGTGAACTCCCTCTGCTATATGGATACTCGACTACTTGTTTCTAAAATCCACATACGACTGGCGTCCACACATAGTTGACGACCCAATGCCGTTTTCTGGCTTCAGTAGCGGGACACAACTCATGGTTCATGCAGTTACTTCAAACCAGCATAGAGATTTAGGGCAAGGTCTTCTACCACATGTCCAACATACTCCATTGTAAGTTTTGGTAGTACATCTTTTGTTAGGAGAGGCCTTACTGGGGGTTTTCTATGAATTGCGCTCCTCTTCAGATCTGTCACTTCTACGCGTTTAATAAAAAAGTATTCGATCATCCGTTGCCCGCAATTTACTCGATCTAGTACTGTTGTTGCAATGCTTCACTTGTCTTAGCCACGTTTTCAGCTTTGATGATGTTTCGGAAACTTCTAGCAGTTGTAAAATGCATTCACGACAAATGTGCCTAAATAATTGACAGATTATCAAGTTACGTCATTTGTCATACCTGGGAACATGGTCTGTGTGGTGACTTGTCGCAGTCTCCACTTATTCTGGCGTGCGTGTCCTTATTTACTGTGCAAAATGTGGAGCTATCAAATTGGTCAGACCCTCAGTTTATTACTTAGGACCAAAGCCATAATTAATGACGTATGTTAAAATTCCCTAACACCAGACGGCTATTGCTTGTCAGAAGTGAATTGATTTTGGGCATATAACGAGGGGCACAGCGTTTTAGCAGCGTGATATTAACGATAAGCTCCTCTAAATCGTCTGTTTCACATTTGACCTCTACCCCATACATTCAATGTATCAATGTATCACTAGATCCAAGCTCAGGCAAGAGAGGTCTGGAAATGTTTACCAAGGGGTAAGACAGGGAATACCTAGGTTTCGGAAAGAGCCACAAATCCGCATCAGTCCCCTTGTTTTTGTCTGGGATATTCTCCCCAGAGATGGGATATTCTCCCCAGAGATGGGATATTCTACCCATTTTTACCCAAGTGACGAGATGGTTAGCTCAATAGAAGGGGAACCAAGGAATTAAATAAAACTAAAATTCTTTTGAAAAATCTTCCAAATCTTACAACCGCACTTATAAACATTTTCATCTTTCTCCACTTGTTATGCTTTCCTTCTGCCTGAACGAAAAAGCATAACCATGTAAGTTGGTTTTGTTTGTTACAACGAAAGCCCCTTCGTCGAACGTGCCTTGTCTAGAAATAGAACAGTGTGGTTTTTGTTCTGAAGTCGAAGTGACCAATAACGAAAGAAGACAACACTACTTGACACCAGGGAACGATTATCCTTGGGCAGCATTGAGAATATACCGGAGGTCTGACCGACAACATAAGGAACACTACTTGACACCAAGGAACGCTTGTCCTTGGGCAGCGTTGAGAATATACCGGAGGTCTGAACGACAAAATAAGGAACATTACTTGACACCAAGGAACGATTTTCCTTAAATAGCGTTGAAAAAACACTGGAAATCAGAAAATCACTGGAAATAGCACTACTTGGACTACCTGGAATTTCATTGTAAGTTAACTAATTCAATACAAAAAATGTTAAGGTGAGTGAAGTGCTAGTGGAAAAATATATAAAAAGTAAAACAACGGAAATTATTGATTGAGTGAGTTAGAAACATTGTTTCAAAATCTAAAATTAGAAAATATAGAACAAAAAATGAATGCGGAACAAGTGAGTGAGTTGATAAAAGCGGAGGTGAGCAAAGCATTATCTGCTCAAAGAGTAGAATTTGACAGAAAAATTACCTCGATTCAGGGCCAATTTAACTTGGGAAAACCGAAAGTCCAAAAATTCGTGAAGATTACGATCAACCCACTTGTGCCGTGTGAATTTACTGTAGATATGATAAAATCTCTTCCGGAATTTTCCGGACAATAGGGCACCTATGTGTCTTGGCACGAGGCTGCGCACAACGCTTACGAATTATTTAAGAGGTATGATGGCAGTGAACGCCACTATCAAGCAGTAACCATACTATGAAATAAAGTGCGGGGTGCAGCCGACGCGATAGAGTTCTATGACTATGTAGAAAAGAAACTAACGTTATAACGTTAGTCACAAGAAGTAGACGCAAATAACGAGCGCTACGCTTTTGCGTATGATGAGCTTACTTTATTGGGGACAAAGCCACTCCTGCCTTGAATTTCAAAGTCAATTGGGGGGAGAGAAGCTAAGCTCCTTGTCGATACAGGAGCGTCAAAGAGCTATATTAAACCTCTACCTGAACTAAGAGGAATTAAATTAGTTCAGCATTCTTTTTCAGTAAAATCAATCCACGGGGTTACCCATATCAATCAGAAATGTGCAGTTAAAATTTTTGGTATAGTTGCCGATTTTTTCATTTTACCTGAACTTACTTCATTTGACGGCGTCATTGGCCTTGACATATTGAATAAGGTACACGCCTCTATTGATTTAAAATCAAACACAATTACTGATGGCAACGGAAAGGACAATGTGGTCGCCGATGCGTTATCTAGGCAACACATAAGTTCAGACACACGGAGAAGTTAGTTATCGATATATCTAGTCCGAATGAACAACAGGAAATTATAGCAGCTGAACATAATCAAACACACCGAGCAGCTCAGGAAAATGTGAAGCATATTCTGGAAGACTATTTTTCCAAAAAATGGAAAAGAAAGCGAAGCAGTTGTTGGCAAACTGCCGAGTATGTTCCCATTCAAAGTATGATCGTCAAAAAGGCAAATTATTGCCCAGACACCCATACCAACATTTTGCGGGGAAGTCCTTCACCTTGACATATTTTCCACTGGGTCAAAGTACTTTCTGATTTGCACCGACAAATTTTCAAAATTTGCGATAGTTCAGCCGCTAAAATCCAGGACTATAGTGGATGTTAAGCCACGGTTACTACAGTTGCTCAATATGTTCAATGGTACAAAAACCATTTACTGTGACAATGAAAAGTCACTTAACTCGCATACCATTAAAGCTATGTAAAAAATCACTTTGACATAGATATCGTAAATACCCCACCCCTACACAGCACATCAAATGGGCAGGTGGAGCGCTTCCACAACACACTGATGGAAATAGCGCGACGCCTTAAAATTGACAAGAATCTGGACGATATCGAAGATATGGTACTTTTAGCCACCATTGAGTATAATATATCAATACATAGGGTGACTGGAATGAAACCATAATCATCTTCCATTCAACAAAGGATGATGAATAAATAGTGTCATGTTTCAAATCCGCCCAGCATAAAGAGATAGCAACTCACAATAAGAATCGACGTGACAGGGAGTTTTCCGTAGGGGAAAAAGTTCTCGTCAAGAATAATAGGAGATTAGGGAAGAAACTAACTCCCATTTATAGTAAAGAAGAAGCCAAACAAGATCTAGGGACAACAGTTCTGATAAGAGGGAGAGAGGTCCATAAGGACAATCTTCGGTAAAGTCCCTTTCACTATAATGTAAAGAAAGAAGAAATATTATATTGGTAGTGAGTTAAAGGAAATATTGTTTAAATTTTTTAGGATTGCCTTAAGATTGGCCATAGCCATTTTAGTGTCGGCATCAAATGGACGTTTAATGGACTACTCTAATGCGAGATACATTCCGATAACCGGCGGGGATCTCGTAATTTGGGAAAACTTTGGACACATAAAACATGTTACTAACCTAACTTTATACGAATTGCTAAGAGACGAAACAGCTAATGCTAAAAACTACTTTCCCCAAACTTATAACTTTTAATAAGTAGACTGATACAGACGGTAAATATTCACCACAGACAAGTGAGAAGCCTGAATGCATTAGGAACTGTCCTGAAATATATCACTGGGAGACCTGATCATGATGACTTCGATAAACTGACCAACACAATTGACCAACTATTCAACTCACAGGAGAGACAGTTTACTATGAAAACCGAAGTGCAGAAAGAAATTAATAGCCTCACCAATACAGTAAACAAAATTTTAAAGACAGAAAAACAAAGGGAAGTTCATACAGGAAATCTTTATGATGATCCTTAGCCAGAAACAGGGCGATAATAGCAGAATTGAATAACTTAGTAACCTCTATCACATTCGCAAAAAATGGAGTTTTAAATCCTATCCTTTTAGATAGCAATGAAATCAATTTCACAATAAAAACCAGCACTTCACAAACCTCTCCGTAGCTGATATTATGGCCGTAGCTAAAATTAAGATTTTACAATACAATAATGTAATATATTTCCTGATAGGATATCCCATCCCTAAGTTTAAATGTAAGAATATTATTATATTACCAGTAGGAAAAGGTCATCTCATGCTCCACTTGCACGAATCCACCCTCGCTGCATGTAAAAATTACACCTCAGCAGTAAGAAACTGCAGCGATGCTATGCCAACATTTGGTATGTCATCATCACTCACATCATGCGCTCTGGAACTAATGACACGTAACACCGCTAACTGCAGCGCAACATTCAACAACCTCCCACCAATTACAGCGACAGGCGATGGTTTGGTGGTCATCAATGCCCAACTGGCGGTTGTAGAAGAAAACAACGAACCCCCTGTTACGGTCAATGGTTTCATTTAATTCCTTGGATCACCTTCTATTGAGCTTATCATAATATCCCATATATATATATATATATATATATATATATATATATATATATATATATATATATATATATATATATATATATATATATATATATATATATATATATATAGTACGGTTGGTACGACGGAGATCATCACGCGCTTTAGCTAATCCCGCTGCCTCTGCTGGGAACTTTGGTCTTATCTCGAGTATCCAAGAGAAATGACGGGTTTCCAAGTCACGTCATTTATCAGACAGGGTGACACAATGCTTAAATCTGGCGAACTATGACACTCTTCTGTAAAATGTGGAGCAGTCAATCTGCTCTGCCAACGCTGATCTCCTCTGGTCATTACCTAGGATGGAATGCCACAACTCAGAAGGTTATTGCCTTCCAAAATAGGGTTTACCAGGAATGTCACAAAATCGTATCGAAATAGTTAGAATTTCGTAATTAAAAGTCGTTCATTTTTGTGTTAGCTTCTTAAGATTTTGTACGATTTGGTGAATTACGATTTCAGTGTAAATATGACAACAATATATATAATCTTTTTAACGTATACTGTCCAGTCTACAATACCACACCACATGTTGATACTAACTATTCTCCTTATGAGTTAGTTTTTGGAAAACTGCCATATTTACCCAATGATGAAATTATAAAAGAATCGAAATTTTGCAATATTGAAGAATATTCAAATGAAATTAAGCAAAGGCTTAGGTTTTCTCTCTGTAAATCTAAGGATTATTTGGAAAAATCTAAAATTAAAAGAATTACTAGAACCGAAACTTCTAATCCACTAAAAGCAAATAAAGATGATTTAGTTTTATTAAGATTAATGAATAGAAAAAAATATCAATCACCGTATTTAGGCCCATATAAAGTCATTAGTACTGATGGAATTATAATCATTCTTAATAGTATTATATTTTTTAAAAACTAAAGTGAGTTTCCTCCCTTTGGCGAAACTCGCGTTAAAAAATAACACGTCAATTAAAGTTTGCTGCTGGAATAGAACTAAATCTTTATTTGTGAATGAGTGCAATATACATAATTGTTTATTTTAATTCTAGATACATCGTATGATTATTTATTGGTCTTTTGATTCGATCGTATGATTTGAAATACGATCGATTGTGTGATTTGCAAGAAGGGTGTGGCTTTTTTTTCTAAATGACAGATGGTACGATAATTGTAATATGAATACGATAATTGTAATATGAATATATTGCCAAGTCATTGGAAAGGCATTTTGGTTTGGGTTATAACACCCCCGGACGAAGACTCTTTCCCGTGTTCCAAAGGAGCTGAGGGGAAGGGCATAGTTACTTTTACTTTTACTGTGCTTGATCTATATTTTACATACAGATACAATGCTATAATAAGTATAATTACAGCTGTCAAGACTATTACTGTGTAATTAGTTACTTTCTGTTCAAATTTTATTTCTGATATGAATTCGGTATTTTTAATATGATGATACTGTATTTCCTCTAAAGAATCATATGAATCATTTATCATATGTATGTCTCTGTAGGGATTTGGAATTATTAACATGTTTTGAAACATTACTTTATTGTACCATTTGTCCAATTTTACTTTGCAATTTTCTATGATCAGCATGTGATTTCCAGATAATTTTAATGGGTATTTGTTACATGTATGATTAACAATTTGATTAGTATTTATAGCAATTATAATATTTAAGCCAATTTCGACAACTTTTGGTTTAGTATTTTGTATATAATGACATTTCATGAGCTTATAATTAAACAGATTGGATATACAATCATCCTCAACTTCCCTTAGATTTGGTGTTTCATTAACATCATAATAAATTTTATTATCTTTTGTGATATACAATTTTTCTGCAATATTAATTTGCATTTTTTCTTTATTAGGTATTGGTTGAATATATACTTCTTGGAATATTTTAGGATTATATTGGGGTACTTTTAAGACAAATACTATATTATTTTTGTAAAGGGCTAAATTCATCTTAATTTCTTTCATTTTATCTATGGTTATATTATATATTCTAATTTCTTCATCACTCAGGATATCTCGAGTGAGAATATTTAATTTGGAAGCCAAGATTAGGTCTCTTACTTTATCTAATAATTTGCCCATATGATCAATTTGGTATTTAAGACGGTAAACTTTATCAGCTTTTGCTGTGTTATCTTTAATTGATTTAACGTTTGACATGCTCTTAATCAACAGTTTTGTTTGGTCATTATATAATTTTGTTAAGTTAGCTAATTGATTGTCAAATTGTGTATTTATGTGTATTTGATTATTAGTTTGCGTTATTATATTATGTTCATTCTTCTCCAAATTTTGCAGTTGTCTTTCAATCTCTTCTCTATCATTATTATCCATTGCACCATATAGATATTTTAATCCTGTACCAAAAAGATTAATTAAACCTCTTCTATTTCTAGCTTGATGGGGAATAATACTTTTAAGTCGTAAATGTACGTGCTCGATTTCATGCGATAAAAATGAATCATTAATATGCGAAACTTCCTCTCCCAATTCATTCAAAAAATCCATATATTTTGTGGTGTTAAATATGTGAAGAATTTTAATATAGTCATCTATTAACATTTTGTCATTAAGTTGTATCATTGCATATCCGTTGCCTTTATTCAAATCGACTACCTCGAGCTTCTGCGCTACCACTGGGGATATCATCAAGAAAATCGCCAGCAAGGACTTCCAGAGACCTGGAAAGACATTTCCTTTTAATGAACTGGTCTTTATGAAGTATTGTATTTCGGTTATCTAATTTATATTTTTTGTCATTAATTTTCCGTGTAGTCAACTGTTTTATTTTAGTCTCGGTCTTATGAGGGATTGCTGTTCTTCCAAATTTAGGATTAATATCTTCATCCTTTCTTTCTTTATTTCTGTATTTTAACATCTTTTCCTTTGCTGTTTCAATTTCATTATAAACTTTTTCCATATGAATATCTGAGTTATAAAAATGAAGGTCAATGGGTTTCTGTTTCGTAGAAAGATGTAAACTATTGTTGTATGCCTGTAATGCCTGCAAAGGTAAATCATAGTTGTATGCTACATCATTATTTTCCTCCCTAATTTTTAATATTCTAATATTCTCATTTAAACTGCTATGAAAACGTTCAATGTCCGAATTACCAGTATGTCTATGAGGTGTTGTAAAGTGATACTGAATATCATTATCTTCAAGGTGTCCCGTAAATACTGGATTAGAAAACGTCGGGTCATTATCCATAGTAATCTTTTGGGGTTTCTTCATGATGAGGAACAATTTATTTACAGCTTTTATAGCCTGTAATGGTGTTTTGTCAGATAATTCTTCCATTGCTGCATATTTTGTAAATTTGTCAATCATGGTCAAATAAAATATTTGGTTATTAAGATACCAAATATCCAAGTGGTAATGAACATAAGGTCCATGTGGTGTTTCCGTTTTCTCGAATGGTAATTTGACGGGGTTTCTTTCTATTTTGAAATTACATATAACGCAGTTATTTATAATTTTAACAATTTCCTTTTTCATATTCGGATAATAGTATTTCCTTTTTAATTCAATATATGTTTTATCTATTCCTGGATGATTGTTTTCAAATCGGTGGTGTCTATTTATGATTTCTAGGAGTTCTTCGTATCTAACATCTTGCAGAAATTTAGTTGTTAATATGATTTCAAATTGTTTTGTATTTAAAGGATTATCTTTTGTGGTTTTATATTTTTCCTGTAATTTCAATAAAATTTCCGTATCCTCACAATACAATGCTGAAAGATTATTTTCCATGGCTTCATTCAATATTCGTGATATTAATTCGTCGTCGAATGTTTCATAAGCGTATATTTTCCTATTCCTATCAAATATCCGTTCATGTGTCGTCTTATTGTCCTTGGAATTGTCAATTTTTATTTGGTTCTTGTAGTGCTGAAGAGGTTTCTCTGATATCTTAAAGAAATTATGGCCATCTTCGTCAGCACTGTGTATTGTAGAAGTAGGTGAAGGTGGTCTTTTCTTTAAATGTTCATCCAAATGTTTCCTAAGCAGATTCTTCTTACTAAACATTTTATTACATATCTCACATTTATGTTTTCTTTTAGCTGTGATTGCATTAACTTCTCTAATTCTTGAGAGAGCATCAGCTACTTTATTATCCTTTCCTTCTACATGTTTGATGTCAAATTCGTATTCATTTAACCTTATTTTCCAACGGATTAGTTTGGAATTAGGGTCCTTAAGATTTGCCAGCCATATAAGGGGTTTATGATCGGTTCTTAGTTCGAATTTCCTACCGTAAAGATAATGTCTGAATTGCTTAACTGCCCAAACAATTGCAAGTAATTCTTTTTCAACTGTGGAATAATTAATCTCATGACGGTTTAAAGTGCGTGAAGCAAACGCTATTGGTCCATTGCTTTGTGACAGGACGGCTCCTAATGCATAATTACTAGCATCGGTAGTCAGAGTAAAACTCTTTTCAAAATCCGGGTATTGAAGTACCATATCGGACATCAGAATCTGTTGTAACTTCTTAAATGCTTGTACATAGTCAGCATCTTCAGTATTAATTATTGCATCTTTTTTAAGTCTCATGGTCAAGGGTTTTGCAATTTTTGCATAACTTGGGATAAACTTTCTGTAATAACCCGTTAATCCCAGAAAACTTTGTATTTCCTTAACATCTTTTGGTATGGGGAACTCCTTAATACATCTTATTTTATTCGGGTTTGGTTTTATCCCATTATTAGTCACTACATGTCCTAAAAATTCAGTCTCTTTTTTCAAGAAGTCTGATTTATTTAAGGATACTTTTAGATTTGCAACTTCTAATGTTTTCAAAACTTTTCCCAAGTTTTCCATATGCTCCTGTAATGAAGTCGAAAATACTAAAATATCATCCATGTATACCACACATATCCTGTTTATATGCTCTCTGAGCACGTTGTTCATCATTCGCTGAAAAGTTGCCGGAGCATTCTTTAGACCGAATGGCATTCTTATAAATTCATAATGTCCATTTGTTGTAGAGAATGCTGTTTTTTCCCTATCTTTTGGATCTACCTCAATCTGATAAAATCCCTTTGTTAAGTCCAATGTTGTGAAATAGTTAGCTCGACCTAGTTTATCTAGTATGTCGTCAATTACTGGTATTGGATATCTATCATCTTCAGTGATAGCATTCAATTTTCTATAGTCTATAACAATTCTCCATTCCTTGTTTCCTACTTTATCTTCCTTCTTGGGTACTACCCAGATAGGAGAATTATATGGAGATGAACTATGCTTTATTATACCTTGTTCTAGCATTTCATTCATTTGTCGATCTACCTCTTCAGTATGTATTGCTGGATACCTATATGATTTCGTATATACAGGGCCATGATCTCCTGTTTCTATCTTGTGCTTTATCTCATTGGTAAAGGTCAGATCATCTCCCGGATGGTAAAAGGCATTTTCATATTTAGTTATTAATCTTTGGAGCTCTGATTTTTCTTCTGTATTTAGGTGGTCTGTCCTTAGCTGCTCAGTAATTCCTAGTATGTTAATATGATGGAGTTCTGGCAATGTTTGTAGTGAAAATTCGTCATCTTCAGAATCTCCTTCAAAATATATCCTGAACTTTTGACCGTTAATACTTACTTCTTTTTTCCTATAATCAATTACAGAACAATTTTCTTGTAATGTTTGGTTGCCTAATATTCCATCGAAGAATTTGTGAAAGGTATACACCCTAAATGTTGTACCTGAATTAAGGGGAATCTTAATAGAATTTTTTGGAAAATGGGCATTGCGGTCAACCGTAATGACACCTGCTGCAGTTTTAATGTATATTGGAGTGTGAGAATTTTTTATATACTGTGGAGGACAATGATCTTTACATATTAGATTTTCTGTGGAACCCGTGTCAATTAATAATCTTGTTTTCCTTGATCTTCCTTTGAGTATGATATAGGGAAGTCCGGTGGCTCCTTGTAAGGAACTAACCGAAAATTTTCCGCTTTGGCTTCAAAATTTTCGTTAGTACCATACTCATATTCAGAACTGTATTGATCTTCTTTATTATCCTGATATACACTGTCTTGATACAAATCATCTTGATACATTTCGCTTATCTCTATTTTATTGTTAATACCTTCTAAATTCTTACATGATTTCTGCTCCTGGTGGTGTGTCTGCCTTTTTGATTGTTGAGATGCATCAACATCCATTGATTCATGCTTTTGTTGATATGATGTTGGAGGCTGTTGTCTGATTTGTGGTTGCTGAGGCTTGTAGTAAGGTTGTTGCGATCCATGTTGCTGGAAATTTGGTTGTACAATTCTCGGCTGCCAATGTTGTTGTTGTTGGTAATGTGGCTGCATTATCCTTGGTTGCCAATGTTGCTGTTGTTGGTAATGTGGCTGCATTATTTTTGGTTGCCAATGTTGTTGTTGTTGTTGGTAATGTGGCTGCATTATCGTTGGTTGCCAATGTTGCTGTTGTTGGTAATGTGGCTGCATTATTTTTGGTTGCCAATGTTGTTGTTGGGGACTTGGTTGTGGTTTGTCCTTCTTCTTTTCGTTGTTCAGGAATCCCGCAGAGCTCAATTCATGCAAAGCTTCCTCCATACTTTGTGGTTTTAATGCGCATAATACAGTCCTCATATGGATTGGAAGACGTGTTATAAAAGTCTTCAGACCAGTTTGGATATTCCTATCGACTTCATCCAATCGATTCTCCTGACCACATTTTTGGTTAAGAATTGCTAGTTTGTGTTGGATGTGGTTGTAGAAATCCATAGTATCTCCTTTATACTGCGCTGCTCTCAGTTCCTGATATAATTGGTCCACAGTGGCAAAGCCACCAAAGTTGGTATTTAGCATCGCTTTTATGTCAGTCCAAAGGGTCAAATGGGGATGAACCTCCATTGCTCTTCTGGCGTTTCCAGTTAGTTTTGATTTTACGATGTTCATACACATTCTTTGAGCTTGTTCGTTGTATAACATTAATGTAGGAATTATGTCATCTACATTTGTTATGAATGTTGTGAGGTCTTCCTTCTTCCCATCAAATTCCCTTAATTTTTCAATATATGTAAGGGGATTGATGTCTAGCGTACGTAATTGTATGTTGTTTTGCGCTGGGTTAAGGGCTGGTTGATTTGCGTTATTCATTTTGTTTCAATTTTTTATAATCTTATTAATGTTCCAAATTTCACTTCGTTGCTATTTTTTGGCTATTTGTAAGTCTTTTAATGTTTTTTAGTTTTCCTCTAATGTTTTACCACTTTCACTTTTTAAGTTTCGTAATTATTTCTTATATTGTAATTATTTGCTTTTTTAAATTTGTAACAATTTGTTAATCTTAAAAATTTATTTCTCTCTTATTAGAATGTGATGTCCACTTTTAACTTTTCCTAGTTTTCTTGTTTAACGTAATTTTGTTAACTTGTTTCTTTTTTACTATTCACTAAAATGTTTCTTTAATCACTAAGTTTATTGTCCCTTTCCGGAGGACTTATCCTTTTACGTAGGATTTCGTTTCACGGACTACCAAACGATCATGGTAATCCTACCGACTGCGCCAATTATAATCATTCTTAATAGTATTATATTTTTTAAAAACTAAAGTGAGTTTCCTCCCTTTGGCGAAACTCGCGTTAAAAAATAACACGTCAATTAAAGTTTGCTGCTGGAATAGAACTAAATCTTTATTTGTGAATGAGTGCAATATACATAATTGTTTATTTTAATTCTAGATACATCGTATGATTATTTATTGGTCTTTTGATTCGATCGTATGATTTGAAATACGATCGATTGTGTGATTTGCAAGAAGGGTGTGGCTTTTTTTTCTAAATGACAGATGGTACGATAATTGTAATATGAATACGATAATTGTAATATGAATATATTGCCAAGTCATTGGAAAGGCATTTTGGTTTGGGTTATAACAATGGGGTCAATACTGTAATAGATATAAATGGTAAATTCAAGAAATACCACAATAATGTTTTAAAAAAATGGAGTTATAGTTAATTAATTTATATTGAAAAGAATAATGCAAAATAATTTTTACTAAAGCAAAAATTATATTTTTTTAGTGTAAGGGTGTAATGTTACGATAAATTTATGCATGTGAACTACCCTTGTATTGATCACCTGTAACTAGGCTAAGTTGATCAGCTGATTAACAGCTGTAGTTTTAAGGATTGTTATTGTTATTTTAAAGGATATATTAAGAAAACAAAATCTAGGATTAAGTACCGTTATGTTTTATATAAGGACGATATATAAGGACGATGAAATTACGATAAATTTATGCATGTGAACTACCCTTGTATTGATCACCTGTAACTAGGCTAAGTTGATCAGCTGATTAACAGCTGTAGTTTTAAGGATTGTTATTGTTATTTTAAAGGATATATTAAGAAAACAAAATCTAGGATTAAGTACTGTTATGTTTTATATATAAGGACGATGAAATTGAAAATAAAGTTCCGAAGTTAGAAAGAGCCTAAACCGGCTTTAAAACTTCAGTAAAATTAAAAAATCAAAAAGCTCTTTTTATTGAGCTGGAAATCGCTGGCAACTAGTTGTGCCTTCGAAAATTTTAAAAACATCTTTTTCTGCCAAGTGGCGTTTGTAAGCGCCGGCAAACAAATTGAGGCAGGGCCCAATTTTCCACACACACATACATGTCTACACAAAAACATCAACAGGTTGCAGGCCAACATTACACCATGTCCCCAGGTATGACAAATGACGTAACTTGACAATCTGTCAATTATTTAGGCTCCTTTGTCGTGATTGAATTTTACAACTGCTTAACCCACCTGATGTTAACGTAGCAGATACATAGAAGTTTCCGGAACATCATCAAAGCTGAAAACGTGGGTAAGACAAGTGAAGCATTGCAACAACAGTACCAGATCGAGTAAATTGCGGGCAACGGATGATCGAATACTTTTTTATTAAACGCGTAGAAGTGACAGATCTGAAGAGGAGCGCAATTCATAGAGAACCCCGAGTAAGATCTCTCCAAAGGATGTACTACCAAAACTTACAATGGAGTATGTTGGACATGTGGTAGAAGACCTTGCCCTAAATCTCTATGCTGATTTGAAGTAACTGCATGAACCAGGAGTTCAGAATCTTACTAAACTTCACTTGTCTTTAGACACCCTAACTGTTTCCGACTGTCCCGCTACTAAAGCCAGAAAACGGCATTGGGTCGTCAACTATGTGTGTGGTCGTTAGTCGTACGTGGTATGTAGAAATAAGAAGCCCAGTATCCCTAGAGTAAAGGGAGTTCACAAGTAAAGGGAGTTCACCTGGGACCTCATTTTTCGTGGTGTTCACGTTCTCATCACAATCCGCATGATGATGGAAATTTAGTATGAAATTGGAAGCCAGCTACAGAATATTCTTCGTCAGCTATTTTGTAAAATAATAGAATATTTATAAATTAGTCATACAAGTATATATTATTATTCTAGATTTTACAATTTCTAAACTCATGCTAAAATCAACATTACATAATCTAATTCGTGCGGTGAAAATCGGTGTATAATAATTGATAGTATCTACTACACTAAAAGGAAAATAAGTTGCCATTTAATATTTTAATATCATCATTGAGTTCAACATAATACTCTGCTTTACAATCTGATCAATTCTAACCTGCTAGTAGAACAAGGCAATACAAGATCTCTCAAAGCAAAAACCAGAAATTGTTCTTGCACAGATTCTATTTTTCTAACAAAATAAGTAAAAAATGTTTTGTTATATATGGATCAGAAAATTTTTTGGCCCATCGTATTAAAAAATCTAAACGTCCAATTGTTTATTTACCAAAATACCAAGATTGACAAATAATTCTAGAGTTGATAAGAAATCCCACGGCAGCGGGTTCTACGACACCGGATTGACACGAAATATCAACACTCCAGTTCGGCCAGCGATGTAATGGATGTGAAGGATGGGTGCATTTTAAGAGTTGTTTCGGTTTAACCCGGTTCCGAGACTATAGCGATAGGGACTATGTTGCATCGTGCTGTACAAACGTAGTTCCCATTGAGTTCACGACCTCGTTGTCAACTTCTGAGTCATCGTCGGAGTACAGAACTTCCCCGCAGTCTCCAGAACAGCAAACTTTATCGCAGCACCATGTTGCTATTGAAATTCCGGACAGTGCATCATTCTTGTAATTCATTTGCAACGGAATCCGAGGTAAAATTGATGAGATAGTGGATTTTATGAATCGGAGGAATATCTTGATCGCATCGGTGAATGAAACAAAGCTCAATGAAAATTTTAGCTTACAACGTTGAAATGGTTGCAACGTATTGAAGAAAGATCCCAAGAGAAGTGAAGGTGGGGCATTAGCATTCCTGTTACACCATTCTATTCAATACAGATCTATCTCGCTTGAGCTAGTCTCTAGTGACCCATATATGGAATGTATGGGGGCAGCAGTCAAGTGTGGAACTGTATAATGTGTACATCCCGCCGGTTAATAGCTGCCAACCGCGTTACTTGCTTAATATTTTACCTTCTTTCTCTATTTACCTTCTTCAAAAAATGTAAATCGCAAAATTTTTCGATTTGAAACCGTTTTTGGTTTTGCAAGTGAAATTGTATTTTTGTGGCAACTGTGACATTAAAACACTCTCAAAATGATTTTAAGTAATAAAAATGTTGTCTTAATGACAAATTGTAATAGTTTCTCAATTAACGAAGGCAATTGTTAACTAAGTGTTGCCACGTCACTTTTTTCGCCACAACAAAAATGTATGGGTCACTAGATCCAAGCTCAGGCAAGAGAGGTCTGGAAATGTTTACCAGGGGGTAAGGCAGGGAATACCTAGGTTTCGGAAAGAGCCACAAATCCGCATCAGTCCCCTTGTTTTTGTCTGGGATATTCTCCCCAGAGATGGGATATTCTACCCATTTTTACCCAAGTGACGAGATGGTTAGCTCAATAGAAGGGGAACCAAGGAATTAAATAAAACTAAAATTCTTTTGAAAAATCTTCCAAATCTTACAACCGCACTTATAAACATTTTCATCTTTCTCCACTTGTTATGCTTTCCTTCTGCCTGAACGAAAAAGCATAACCATGCAAGTTGGTTTTGTTTGTTACAACGAAAGCCCCTTCGTCGAACGTGCCTTGTCTAGAAATAGAACAGTGTGGTTTTTGTTCTGAAGTCGAAGTGACCAATAACGAAAGAAGACAACACTACTTGACACCAGGGAACGATTATCCTTGGGCAGCATTGAGAATATACCGGAGGTCTGACCGACAACATAAGGAACACTACTTGACACCAAGGAACGCTTGTCCTTGGGCAGCGTTGAGAATATACCGGAGGTCTGAACGACAAAATAAGGAACATTACTTGACACCAAGGAACGATTTTCCTTAAATAGCGTTGAAAAAACACTGGAAATCAGAAAATCACTGGAAATAGCACTACTTGGACTACCTGGAATTTCATTGTAAGTTAACTAATTCAATACAAAAAATGTTAAGGTAAGTGAAGTGCTAGTGGAAAAATATATAAAAAGTAAAACAACGGAAATTAGTGATTGAGTGAGTTAAAAACTTTTTGTGAGTGAGTTGATAAAAGCGGAGGTGAGCAAAGCATTATCTGCTCAAAGAGTAGAATTTGACAGAAAAATTACCTCGATTCAGGGCCAATTTAACTTGGGAAAACCGAAAGTCCAAAAATTCGTGAAGATTACGATCAACCCACTTGTGCCGTGTGAATTTACTGTAGATATGATAAAATCTCTTCCGGAATTTTCCGGACAACAGGGCACCTATGTGTCTTGGCACGAGGCTGCGCACAACGCTTACGAATTATTTAAGAGGTATGATGGCAGTGAACGCCACTATCAAGCAGTAACCATAATATGAAATAAAGTGCGGGGTGCAGCCGACGCGTTAGAGTTCTATGACGATGTAGAAAAGAAACTAACGTTATATCGTTAGTCACAAGAAGTAGACGCAAATAACGAGCGCTACGCTTTTGCGTATGATGAGCTTACTTTATTGGGGACAAAGCCACTCCTGCCTTGGATTTCAAAGTCAATTGGGGGGAGAGAAGCTAAGCTCCTTGTCGATACAGGAGCGTCAAAGAGCTATATTAAACCTCTACCTGAACTAAAAG